TTTATTTTTAGATAAACACGCCGGTGACTGAGAGATCTCGACTCATTTTATCGAAGAGTATTGCATTAATAGCAGTAATAGTCACTGTTTACGAACTCACGTTTTCTCCCCAGTGCTCAACCGAAATAAATTTTCAGGAGCATATATTACTACACTCTTTAATATATCGTGGCCAGATCTAACGACGTTTCCCACTGCCCAGGGGGGACATTGGCTCGTATCCCACCGGTGAGCGCTCATATCCACAATATATATATATATATATATATATATATATATATATATATATATATATATATATATATATAACAGATATTGGTCAGAGGTAACTTAGACCAGGAAACAGTAGTATTGAAAAAGCGCTCAATGCACAAATAAAATATAATAAAGAATAAAAATTTAACATTCAAAGGTTTTAAATTTAAAAAACAAAGATGGTCATTTAATCATGGTTACCATGGTCTCAACCTTTATGTATCCTAAGGCGACATAGACCAAATATTTTGGCCTATAACGCCTGAGGATACCTAAATGTTGAAACCATGATAACGTGATTTGCTGATCTAATTTTATATATATATATATATATATATATATATATATACTAGCAGCACGGCCCGGCGTTGCCCGTGTTTGATTCAAAAATCGTACGACTCATACAGCAATCGCTACCACTTGACTTAAAATATTTTTGCCCTTCCTTGACTTTAAAGGAGTGCCCTTTGCCGTGCTGATGTTGCTACATGCCTTACTTCTTGCCTATCTCACACTGCGAATTTTTTCTAAGCTCTATACTAAACATTAAATTTGTTACGAAAAAAGAACTAAACAAAATGAACACAAAACGATCAGCTTTAAAAAAAAGGACTCGTAACTGGAAAAACCGAATGAAAAAAGAATGTTAACAACAAATACTTTTTCACACCCAACCCAGTTCTGCGGAATCAGAATCAACGTTGAGTTTAAGCAAGCGAATGAGCTAATTAGAGTAAAGTGCCATGCAGATATAAATTTTTCCCACTTGTGACGAATGCAGCTATCGATTTTTTTTTTTTGCTTGCTAGCATGCTAGTTATCATTCGTGTCAGTCAGCTGTTGGCTCTCACTCTGGCCAGTACAAAATGGCCGCAAACTACATGAAAACTGCCGTAGAAGCATGAAAAAATCGATTAATTCCACTATCGATGAGAGTTGGGAAATGCCACATCGGTCTTGGCATTCCCGCTAACTTGGAGCATGTGCATGTAAATTTTGGTGCAAATCCGTCGAAAATTGCGGCCGTGCATTCGTTACACACGCACACTCACACACACAGATCCTGTCTTTTTATATATATATATATATATATATATATATATATATATATATATATATATATTCTGTTTATACGTTTCTTTATGGATACACTTATTTGAGTAAGTGCTCTGTTTTGTTTTGTTTTTTTAATTAAACAGTTTTCAGTACATTTACTAGCCTGAATGTTCGAAAAATTTCGTAAATAATATGCGCCCTCCGCCAGGAATCGAAACCGTATCCTGTACAGCACCTTCATTAAGCCTGATTTACTATGATCATTCAGAATATTTTCTTAGAAATGTCTCGCACATTCAGGCTGGCAAAGTTAATTAATACTGTTTAATTAAAACAGCATTTACTCTAATATGTTTATCTATAAAAGGCGTATAAACAGAAAATATATTAAAATATTTCGGATTTAATCCATTTCACATAATATAGTGTCATTGTTTACATTAGGCTAAAATATCAGAGCAGATATGATAGCTCGGAAAAAATCGCCGAAGGTTTGTGTTTAAAAGCAGGAATTCTTGCTTTGCTGAGCGGAAGATCTCTGTGGCTGGACTGTCTTGGCACGCCAAACTTAATGACGGTTCCATATAGGATACAGGTTCGATTCCTGTCACAGGACGCATATTTTCTACGTAGAAAGAGTCTTATCTGAGCTAAACCCCGATTACTGATAGAAAGGGCACTGATTAAATAAGAATTGGCTAAATCATTTTCCTATAAGCCATTCCCCGTCATTAATCAATGTCTCTTTAGGACGTTGCCGTTCATGGCTCTCCTCAATTTCCTGACCTTTGTAGCTCTTAATAGTTTTTGTCTTTTTGCCATCTCTCCCATATGCCTGTTCCATCATCACTTTGCTCAAGATCATCAGGTAGGTTGCATGTTGCATCCCTCTGGCTCTCTAACCTTCAATTTATCCTGTGAGTATCAAATTTTCCAAGCCAGGTTTCCTCATTATGTGTCTCAGAAATGTCAGCTTCTTCCTAAGACCTGCTGGTTAGTGGGACTGGCTCCTGATAGGATGCTTCCCAATCACTTCTATGTGTTGTGTCTCTTGAGGATGTTGGTGATTATGGATCTCCTCAATTTCCTCTCCTGTGTAGCTCTTAAGAACTATTGTCTTTTTTCATATCTCCCAAACCTTGCTCCGCCATTTATTCGCTCAAACTCTCCAGGTAGGTTGCGTGTTGCTTTCCTCTGGCCCTCTAACCTTCAATCTGTCCTGTTTATATTAAATTTTCCAAACTCTCATTGAACTATGAGTAGATGGCAAAATAAAGCAATAACAATTATTTAATATAGAATAGCATGCAAATTAGATGGACAAGTATAAATAGAGAACAACTGGTGAACATAGGGTGGCTATGCCTAGCAAACCCGCTTGGTATTTAGAAGACGGAGAATTGTACTACGACTACTACTAAGCAGAGATATATGAAAAACATAACATTTAAATTATGAGAATTACTTTAACAGAGGATGGAAAATGTGACACCGAAATCCGAACGAACAATTGAATAGCGGAAGATGCCTTCCAAAAGCTAAGTAAATTATTAAGAAACAGAAAAAGTAAGTTAGAAAAAAAAGAAAAGTACTGAACTGCTACGTAATGTCAGTCCTCCTCTATGACAGTGAAACTCCACTAGGATAAACCGAAGACATCTGCGAATGCCCTGGACTGAACATGTGATTAACGAGTAAAGCTTTAAGGAAAAAGAAAACAAAAAGGACGCATATACTTAGAAAGAAACAGTCGAAACGTCATATAAAGAGAAAAGAGGGTTAGGGGTATTTTGCGCTCAAAGGACGTATTAGAGGTAAGAGGGACAGAGTTAAAAAATGTATAACCTGGGAGTGTAAGTAAAAAAAAAGAAAACCTGACAAAGATAATATAGGAAGTTGTGGAGAGCCATAAACGCCTATGTTCTAAAGGTGCGTGGAACATAGAAAATGAAGACGAAGCGTATGTGTGTCTGTGTGTATTTTCTGATGTCAACGAACAGTCGTTGCCATTTTTGTGATGCTAACGAATACTCATTGTCACTTTCATAATGTTCGTTGTAGTAGAAACTTTGTAATCGCAGATACGACTATAGTAACGCCGTTGAACAATACTGGTGTCAGACGCCTTCGAAAATCAATCGCACTAATAGTACTTGCTTGATAATACTCGCTCGAATAGTAATCAGTATAATGATCTGAATAGAGAAATAGTATAGTGAATAGAGTAGAGAATGGCGGTCCGTATAGCATAGAGAATGGACTAGAAATAGAGATCAAATGGACATCACGCCATTCCTACTTACGTGTTTTCTATATAGTCACGTGGTCTAATTAATTTAATAATGCGATCGCCTGTGTGTTATAGTGGAACACACCTATTAGATAGTTAATAGACTCTCCCACCTATAATAAGTAGTAGTAATAGTAACGAGTGAGTAGCTGAGTGGTTCGGTCAGTCAGTCGATGCCGGACGACCGTTAGTCGGATATTAAAGTATCTGCGACTGCAACTAGATTTCTCTGCGTTATACTTATTATATGAAGTTCCTAACGCTTTGTACGTCGAACCTATTTTAGGACCGACTTAGTACAAATACAAGCCTCCACTGTGAAATCACTCTACAACAGTGTGTTTGCTCACTGGCAATCTATATAACAATGTATATGCAGACTCGCGTTTTTTTTGTTTTTTTTTTTTTTATATCTGACTTGCGCACAAATAATTTAAAAGCGGAAGTTCCCAAAAAGAAATGTTTAGTTTTTTTTGCTGCCCATTGCGTTTTGTAGATCATAATCTTCCTGGTAAGAAATGACTGATCAGAAAAGAAACAGAAAAGGTGTAGGTGGGAAATGGAGAAATGACGGAGAAACGAATTGTTATTTAATTGAGCGAAAGAAGGCAGATATTAAAGAAAGAAAAAGAAAGAAAGAAAGAAAGAAAGAAAGAAAGAAAGAAAGAAAGAAAGAAGGAAAAAAATTTGCGATGGAAATGAAGATTAAAGGAAACATCGACTAAGAAAATAGAAGAAATAAAAATGGTGTGGTAATGGAAGAAAGAATAAAAGTAATAAAGACATCTAGTAAAGAGAAAGAAGGAAAGACGTAAAATAAAAAAGAAGGAAAGAAAAAAGAGAGTGACAATGGAATCATGAAGAAGAAAAGCAAAAATAATTTCAGTTGTGTGCCATGCGTGATACACGATTAGGCGATCATGTATCTTTCGATACATAACTGACGAGGCAGATTTTTTCCACAGTAGGTTGCTATTTCTTTCTAAGATAGACCAGTTGTCATCCATGACTATAGGACCCGGTCTGTCCTGCTATTTACCCATAGCTGGGTGGGGGAAGAGGATTCATAACTTTCTCAAGGGTATTAGCATGTAAGTGAATGTAATGGATCTGACTAGAATTCGAACTCGGCTCTCCGATTCCTCAATCCGAGCCGCTATCCATTACTCCACAGGAGATAGAAAAAGAAGGATGAATAATAAAAGTGAGATAAGAAAAGAAAGGAAACAGAAAGAATAAACGCCATAAGAATTTTTATTATAGTTAAAAAAAGAAATGATTAGATAAAGAAATAAAAAGGAATAAAGAGCAAAAGGTATTTTTAAAAATGCTCGAAAAACATCCACACAAATTCATGAGAAAAAGTAAAATAAGCTATGAGGGGAAATAAATAAATGAATTAAGAAAGAAAGAAAGAAAGAAAGAAAGAAAAGAAAGAAAGAAAAGAAAGAAAGAAAGAGAGAAAATACAATAATAGAAAGATTGGAAGAATCACGTAAGAAAGGCGGCGAAGAAATGGCGCATGATAGGAAAATAAGCAGCTGTTGAGAAAAAAAATAAAGAAATCCCCTAAAAAGAGAGAAAATATAGAAAAGAAAAAAAAATCAATGAAAAGATGAACAAAAGAAAAGAACGAAACACAAATAAATGAAAAAAAAAGCATCAATTATTCGTAGAGATTTCCAAGCGGAGCTTAGATGCGGTACAAGGCCAAAATTATGGGGCATCTAGTGAGGATCGAACTCACTTTACAGTCGTAACTGATCTAGCAAAAAAATGCTTGCTAACCATTACACCACTCCGAGGTACCCAAAGAATTACAGAAGTAAACAAAGAAAAAATAATGAAAGAACGCCAGACAAGAAAGAGAAAAGAAGAGAAAAGAAAAGAAAAGAAAAGAAGAGAAAAGAAAAGAAAAGAAAAGAAAAGAAGAGAAAAGAAAAGAAAAGAAAAGAAAAGAAGAGAAAAGAAAAGAAGAGAAAAGAAAAGAAAAGAAGAGAAAAGAAAAGAAGAGAAAAGAAAAGAAGAGAAAAGAAGAGAAAAGAAAAGAAGAGAAAAGAAGAGAAAAGAAAAGAAAAGAAGAGAAAAGAAGAGAAATGAAGAGAAAAGAAAAGAAGAGAAAAGAAAAGAAAAGAAAAGAAAAAAAGAGAAAAGAAGAGAAAAGAAAAGAAGAGAAGAGAAAAGAAAAGAAAAGAAAAAAGAAAAAAAAAGGAACGAGAAATAATGAATAATAAGAAAGGAAAAAAATATCACAAAGGGTAATGGCTAGCAATCTTTATTAAGTGATAGCAAATCTTTTACAATTTGTTGCCACTTCTTCAAAGACATTTTTTAAACATTAACTTCCATTTGGTTGGAATCACATCCGGTTGAATTCAAATCACATTTTCAGTCGCGCTTGACAATCGGAATGAGGATTGATGGTTGATATTCAGTAATAATTATTATATATACGAGATGTAACACATTTATTTTAAACGGAATTATCTGCTACTTGATCTGCTTATTTCCTTCTTTTATTTAGTCATTCTACCCAAAGCAAGGCAGGAATATGTGAAAGTGGGAGAAAAGACTGGGTTGATTTGGGGTTGAAGAAAGGATAAAACATGAACAGGCTTCGAGACGACTGAAGATGGCAATTGAAGTTAAATTTTTGAAGATTGTAGTTTTCAGGGAAGCAAGTAAACGGAAAGGAATTCCACTGTCAGGGATTGCGGGAAAAGAAATTGTTGAAGTAGAAGTGACGCTTACATTTTACTATTTCAACAGTAAACGGGTGGGACCTAGATGCCAATCTAGTAGTAAGGTTAAATTCATGTAGTCGGGACAACAGGGGAAAAATCGTCACTGCAGTTGCCATGAAAATATTCGTATAAAATTGACTGACGTTAAGATGTCAAGTCAGGATCGATTAGATTGTAGATCCATTTTTTAATTTTGTCAAGAACCACGAGATGACTATCAAGAGCAACAGAACTGATATGTTAACAGTATTCAATGCACGTCCGAGTGATAGATTTGTAAATGTGCAATATGGACTCTGACGAGAAAAACCTTCTGGCACGTCACAATGAACCAACTTTCCTTGCAGTAGATGCAGCTATTGATTCAATGTAGTTGTTCTACTTCAAGTCAGTTAAAATAGTGAGGCCATAAAGGCGCTGAGACACTCTCCAATAGTCGAGGAATAGCCATGCTGATGGCGGGCAAGGAACTGGTGATTACATGAGAATAGTTTAGTTTTGGAGGCATTAAAAGTTACGAGAATTTCCTGCCCAGGTTAACAACTGATTTAAGGTCCAGCAGCAGCAGTCAGATTAACTTTATCAGCTCTGACGGATTTTCTATTGAGACAGGAGTAAATGGTAGCGTCATTTTCATAAATGCCTACTTGGAAGCTGATGACATCGGGGAGATCATTTATGAAGATCAGAAACTGCGTAAGACCCATCATAGAGGCTTGGAGGACAGCCGCGTTCGTGTGAAATGATCTGGAAGCGAGTCCATTCCGAACGGACTTCATTTTACGATTTGATAGGAATGACTGGATTGAATAAAACAATCTTCATGTAATACCGTACCCCCGAAGAAGAAAAGCATGCCAAACTCTGTCAAGATATAATGAGTTCGAGCTTCACCGTTATTATGAAGAGCTTGATATACATATTCAGTGAAGGCTGTAAGAACATCAGCGGTAGACCGGGCAAAACGGAAGAAATATTGTTTGTCAGAGTGTAGGTCGTGAACAGTATGATGCTTAACAACTTCAGCATTGATTAAAGCCTCGAATACTTTGTCGAAAATCGGTAGGTGACTAATAGTTCGATAGTTAGAGGAATCAGAATATTCTCCAGAGTACTTAAAAACGGGAACAACAAAGGAGGACTTCCAACTGGCTG